ATGTTTCACTATCATTTATGATCTGACCAACTGTCACTTGGAATAACTGGCTGAGGGTTAAAGTGACGAGTTGATAAATTCTAGCTTTGCAGAACATTTCTTATTACTCGGTTTCTGTGGGTATTTTAAAGCAATCTACGTACGATCTGTTGTGCGTTTATTTTCATGAAATGAATACTGCTTGGGAACTCTGCCCAAGTGTTTTCTGCTTGCTTTGTGCAATGAGGCTCTCAATGGCAAAGGAAGTGATGCCAGATTAGTTACGATATTTCTGTGGGCAGATTTCTTATGTGCTGTGAACCTAGCCTGAAGGGACAGAGATGTTAAATTCAATTAGTTATCTTCATGGTGGCTTATTTGGATCTAATGTTAAGATGACATTCATATAGTACAAAATATATGGAATAGAAACTTCTTAATTTTGTGGCTTTTTCAGCTTGAGAATGCTGTGTTTAAAATAATCTAGCATATAAAATAAGAGCTTTAAAACACTATTTCAGGAAGCAAGAGTGTATTTTCCATTTCACCTTTCCTCCCTTTCTCCTCCACCAGTCAGCTTTTAAGCAAATTTGGCTATTTCCTCTGGCTTCACCAAACTTTATGCTGCAGATAAGCAGTTTAAAAAAAATAACAATAATTTAAAACGCCTATTTCCTCTGGCTTCACCAAACTTTATACTGCAGATAAGGCAGTTTAAAAAAAATAACAATAATTTAAAACAAAAAAAATAATCCGATTGTGGTGCTGCATTGGGGAACTTGTGGGCTCGTTTCAGGCCTTCTGTTTGTGTTTCTCGATTCCCCCAGTTCCCAGATGTGCAGTGACTCATCCCGCTGAACAATGGGAACAGCATCTCTTATTCCTTCACTTGGTCCCAGTTGGCAGAACCGTTACTCAGAGGATATGTATTGCAGAGGGAGAAGAGATTAGCAGTGAGAGAATGAATCATCTGAGCGTTTGTGGTAACTCTTGTGTGGTGAGCAAGAAGTTAAGGAAGACTAATGGTTCCCCACTCTGCTCTGGTGTGCTAAAAAGGAGTATCTGAATTATGTCGAATTCATAACTGGGAGGTCACTCTTCCCTCCCCCACCACTGTCCTGGCAAGCACAGGGCAAGGATGGAAGATGGCATTTTGACACCATGATTTATTATTAAGGGCAATGAAAAAAAAAAAAAGCTAGTTGATTTTTATCAACAGCAAAATTGATAATGGCCATCCCAGGCTTTGTTGATCGAACTTTCAAATGGGAAATATACTAATAGCCTATTAGGTAGACTATATAGCCTAAATACCTCTCTTCAGGTATTTAAATGTAGTATAAATAACTTTGGCCTTCACTTCTATTTTGCTGCTTGTAAGCATAGTTCAAAATAGATTGCCACGTTCAAAAAACTATGTAGGTTTTTTTCACTAGAACCATTAAACTAATGCAATTGAAGTCGTCAATCTGTGTAAAGATATTTTTAGTATCTGATGAATCAGTTGCAAATATTTGCTGCCACTTCTCTAGCAAGTCATGCTAGTGAACCAGAAATAACTGGCTAAGAGAGCATTTGAAGTGCTAAGCCAGCTTTTGAATGGAGTGGAACAGCTAGATGACTTTGGAGAAACGCTAAGAATTTGCACCGAAAAAGCAAACCCAGTTTGCTTGTGGTCAGCATCTTCAAGAGAAGAAAATAGCTCAACATGAGAGGGGCAGCTGTTACTTTTTATTTTGATAATAATTTGCCTTGAATGGAAGACCTACCTTGATGAACAACTCAAACTCTTTGTGTATATGTATTTTTTATACATATTTATTGTATATGTGTATATACCCAGAGCATGAGGTAGCTTAGCATAAATAATAATTTATCAATGGCATTCAAAACTGAATTCAAAGGCAACTTGATATAAAGCTAAACAAACTTAACTTCTAGATCTAATTAATAGCGCTATGTAGTTTCCCTGGATGCCAAGGAAAAAATTTAAAAACTAAATGAATGCTCAGTTAATACAAATGTTCTGATTAAAAATGCTAATAGAAAACAGTCCTAACACCTGGAATTTCCATATTTTCCTCATTTAAGTACATCACAAGTTATTCATCAAGTCGGTTGGTGTTGTCTGCAGTTGTTCTGTGCTGCTCGATGGACTGAAATGTCCCAACTCTTCTGTGACTCAGACCAAGATGCGGAGCAGGGTCTTTGGAGCAGGAACTGAATCCACACTTCCATAGGCCGTAATGTAGGATTTAATCAGGGAATCAATTGTCTTTAAAGTTTGAGTGCATGGTGTGGGCTTGGGTTGTTTTTTCTCCCTTCAGGTTTGTGTGCTTTAATGTTTTGAGCTTTTTTTAACTTCAGACCCTCTGGAGCTTGAGGGATTTGTTGTTTTGACTGGAAACAGCTATTTTGACTTCAGTACTGGATGTCTTTTGAATTCGGCGCTAGAAAAGAATATTCAGACATCTTCAGATCTGTCAGACCGTGCATATGGTGTTCACACCTGTTCCACAACCTGACTTGGCTTCCCAGCTATCCAAGTGTTTTGCAATTACTGTTTAAAATTTCCCAGAATGAATTATTTGGCTTAATTGCCATGTTATGAAGAGCTGTGTAAGAATCGAGCGAAGCCCAGTTTCCTCAAATTGCTGCAGAAGTGGACATGGTTGGTTTTTTTTCTTTCGTTAATCAGATTATTTTCTTACCTTCTTATAAAGGTGCAAAATATTAAAATGATTGATGCGCGGGGTGGGAAATGAGGGAGGCAGAAGCTGTAAATCAGGTAAATTTGCTTGTGTGTGTCCCAGCAGTTTATAGGAATCCAGCTGTTTCCTGCTCTTGGCGTGGGAGGGTGCACGGGCACGGCAGGGACTTACAGCAACTGGGGAGAAAATGGGAACAAGTTGTATCAGAGACAGCCCGTTTGCATTTTTTTTTTTTTTCTTTCGTTAATCAGATTATTTTCTTACCTTCTTATAAAGGTGCAAAATATTAAAATGATTGATGCGCGGGGTGGGAAATGAGGGAGGCAGAAGCTGTAAATCAGGTAAATTTGCTTGTGTGTGTCCCAGCAGTTTATAGGAATCCAGCTGTTTCCTGCTCTTGGCGTGGGAGGGTGCATGGGCACGGCAGGGACTTACAGCAACTGGGGAGAAAATGGGAACAAGTTGTATCAGGGACAGCCCGTTTGCAGTCTGGTTGCACATCTAAAGGCATTGTGTAGGTCAAAACACAATGGAGAGAGGGTGGGGAGGTTTGTAGCTTCAGTGACCTTTTCTTTTTGGGCTCTACCATCTCCTAAATACGACTAATGCCGTACAGGAAGACCTTTTCTCGTATTCATGCGGTCTGTGATATCTCTTCTGATACATCAGAGTGCCAAAAAATACAGGAAATTACTTTCACCTTATGAAAATTCATGATTGTAAGGAAGCTCTTAGAGCAATTGTTCTTTGGAAACTTCCCCCCAAAAAGCTAACTTTTTTTCTGCTAGTGATCCACTGTAAAGCTTTTGTGATAACATGGTAGGTTTTTTGCAAATCTGTGTGTTCTCTTCATGAAAAGACACCTCCTTTTTCTCCATAAAAGCGTGTACTTGCACAGTACATCAAATCCTCTTCTCTCCAGTCTCACTCTTCTCAATCAACTGGTGTGTTGCATCTGTTTACAGTTGCACTGGAGGGGAATAATTCTATTCTGCTGTCTCAAGCCTATGATATGGAGGAGGATGCACGGCTTAAGAATTTCTACTGGTGTTGGGATCAGAAATGATATTTGGAGAATGTTCTTGTTCAGATTTAGTGACTTGGGGAGGGCACCTACTGTCTGTTTGCTCATGACTGACACAGCCTTGATCTGTGATGTATGTAATGTGTTTTGCTGCTGAAAATTATTAAAAGGCAGCAGGACTTTACATTTTATCATCCTTATGACATGGCTACAACTGCGAGACACATGTTCTAAACAATGAAGAGTGCTTTCTTACTGAACAGAGCATTTTCTTCTGAGAAATGAAAGGGAAGTGTTTGAAGGAGAATGGGCTTCTGCCCAAGATTGTTTCCATATAAAAGCAGGAGGGAAACTATTTTATTACTCCTAAGAAGTACGTTCAGGGATTCTTGTATCTACTAATGTGAAGAGGCACTTGATTTGAGTGTGATACACAGATAAGCTTGGGTGTTTTTAAAAAAACAATAAATAAATCAAAAAACCAAAAAGGAAACCAACACGTAAAACCAGTAACACGTTTTTCTCACAAGAGTAAATTTTCATTGCAAACATTGCCTATATTCTTCTCAATAGAACCGCTAAAGGATTTTGTACAAGATGAGCAAATCTGTTATTAAAACTCTCAAGCCTTAAAGGGAAGCTTATCTGTAGAAGAGAAGGTTCTTCAGAATGTTCCTTTGTTGTTTTGTGGGTTTTTTTGACAAGCAAGTCTAGCTTAAATTATCACAAATTGTGGGTGACTTAAATCTTTCACTTTTCTAAAGATATGCCAAGTGGTCTAGGATATGTTTTGGTTCACTGCTACGAATTTTAAACAAAATCCATTGGTTTCTAATAAGCGTTTCAGTTTTACTCCCACCCAGTGTCAGTTAACTGCATTCATCATACAAGAGGGGAAAAAACTAATTCTTTAAGCTGAAGGAGTGACTTTAATAACACTTCCTTTTCATTGTAAAGATTTACTAGATAGATTTGAGCATTTATTCAGATCTTTACTCAAGTTTTGATTTTTCTAGAAGTAATTGTTAGAGAATTGCTTTTAGAAGAAATCCTACCTTACCTACACATCAGTAGTAAACGATGGCAGCTCCACTTTATCAGCAGTTTATGTGAATTAAACTACGTGGTACTTGTGTTGTTCCAGCTCCTTAAGCATATCAGATGTTGCCCAAGTTTCTGCAGGTGACACAGCTCTGTTAGACCTCGGCGTGTGTTGGAGAGTGAAAACACTGTCAGATTTGCTGTCCCAGAAACAAGCTTAGCACCATCTCTTTCCTTTTCCACAGGGTGAATCGGTGAAATATTTCCTGGATAATCTGGATCGGATCGGTCAGCTGGTAAGACATTCCCTCTCCTTCTGAACCAAAAGAGCTCAAAGGGATAATGGAAGCCTGTGTGTGCTATGATTAATGCTTTGGGGGCTGTTCTTGTTTTTTAAATTATAGTTCATTGAATACCTTTGAAGTTCTTTACTCTAGAAGCAGTAAACTACAGCCTTATGAGACTGAAGCTTAGTATTTGCTTAATCTTTTTTGACAGACAACAAATACTGTTTATAGAAGTTGTATTTATGCATGTATTTTGTCTTATCAGTCCTTCTACGCAGTCTCTGGATCTCACTTTTTGCAACGATCTGGTGGCTCATACTACTTAAGGTAGCAGAATGAAACCTTACAAATAAAAAAAGTACTTGTAGGGTTCAAAATCAGTAATGAAAATATCTGTCAGGAGACCTGGAGGAGAAAGAAGGGAGATGATTTTCCTGCGAAACCTTACAAATAAAAAAAAAAGTACTTGTAGGATTCAAAATCAGTAATGGAAACATCTGTCAGGAGACTTGGAGGAGAAAGAAGGGAGATGATTTTCCTGAATAGTAGCAGTGATAAGCTTCTGAAGAACAAATCTCTCTACAGTGATGGGTTGGGCCACAGCCTGCAGTAGAACGTGTTGCTGGACTTGCTGGTCATGGACCGTGAACCTGAAGTATTTCTGCTAAAGCTTGCAAGACGTCCTTTGTGAGAGTAATGAACTGTGAAAAACTAGATTTAAAAAATTAAATAAATTCTTGCAGTGAGCTGCTTTACTGAATGCTGCTTAAATGGCAGTAACACCAGGGCTGAGAATTGCACAATGATAAAATAGACTTCAGCCTGAAAATCAGGGGCTTGAAGGATAAATATGAACGAGTGCATTTAGTCCTATATCTTTATTCTAGTCTATCTCAGGATCTTCTGTAACTGTTTACCAATGTGCTGAGATTAATGGTCAACATTAATCATAATTTTCAAGTTGAGTATTCATTCTTCACTTGGTAATCAAAAAAACATGGCTTGTTGAGTATTACCATCGCTTCAATATTCTGACATTAGCCAGCAGTTTTGAAGGACTCTTTTTGACTCTTTTCTCTTTTCTTTTCCAGAATTATTTCCCCAGCAAACAAGATATTTTGCTGGCTAGAAAAGCCACCAAGGGGATAGTAGAGCATGATTTCATCATTAAAAAAATACCCTTCAAGATGGTGGATGTAGGTGGACAGAGATCTCAGCGTCAAAAGTGGTTCCAGTGCTTTGATGGAATAACTTCAATTTTGTTCATGGTCTCCTCCAGCGAATACGATCAGGTTCTCATGGAAGACAGGCGCACAAACAGACTTGTGGAGTCCATGAATATCTTTGAGACAATAGTCAATAACAAGCTTTTCTTTAACGTTTCTATTATCCTATTCCTCAACAAGATGGATCTTCTTGTAGAGAAGGTAAAGACTGTCAGCATTAAGAAGTATTTCTCGGACTTCAAAGGCGACCCTCACAGGCTAGAAGATGTTCAACGTTACCTGGTGCAGTGCTTTGACAGAAAGAGGAGGAACCGGAGTAAGCCACTCTTCCATCACTTCACCACTGCCATAGACACTGAAAACATCCGCTTCGTGTTTCACGCTGTGAAGGACACCATCCTTCAAGAGAACCTGAAGGATATTATGTTGCAGTGAAGGAGAGCAACCCGCCTTCTGTTAAAATTTGCTGGAGGGTTAGATCAAAGTTGGTTTTTTTTTTTTTAATCCTTTCTTTATGGCCCTTGCATGTGGTGTAGGACCCATGCTAATTACATGGCTCAGGAATGCTGTAAACTAGCCAGTCCAAACAGAGGAGCTATAGGCCGAAGGAGTCAAGAGTTGATGTTAGCTACTGAATCATTTGGACTAGAAACACTACTGAAACATGGCCGTTGTAGGTTCTGTACCTAGTTTGGAATGCTGAATAACACAATCACCTTCTGCCGCCTTAGAAAAAAAGAAATCTCTGACAAACCATGTATGGAAGACGCGTTGTTTTAAATGAATATGCTTATTTTTCAAAGGCACTAGTCATACAAACTGCCTTTTTTTTTTTTTTTTTGTAGCTAGGAGGTGCTGAATCGATCAAACTAAACGTAATGAGATTGGCAGCTGTATTGGAGAACGTTAATGGAAGTTGTGTTCTTAAGCCTTAGGAGTATAACCAGATCTGGTGTGCGTGTTCAGCTTTGCCAAGGGTCTGGAATCCACTTATCACAGGTCTTGTCTGAAGGTTTTGCATGAGTCTCCTGAGGCAAAAGTCAAAAACTGTAAAAAGAAACCCATGTTGGAGTAAATTGGATGGGAAGTTAAGGCCTTGCTGATGTGGAGAAGGGTTTATTTTGCACTAGATGTGAAGGGTATTACATCATGGGGGAAAACTGATTTCCTTGGTGAAGCAGCCTGTGCTAGAGCACCCAACAGTGTGTCTGCACCGGGGGGGGCTCGAGAAAGATGTACTTTGTGGAAATCCAGTGCTGTTCTCTCACCCGCAGCTGGCAATATTTGTGGAGGTTCAGTATCTCACGTGAGAGGGCTTTTATCTATATTCAAAAGTTTGAAAGCTGATTAAATTCTTAAGCAAAGGTTTTGGTAGTACAGCAGCTGCTTGATTAGTTCCCAAGAGCTGACCTTATAGGAAGAGTGAACACCCTAGAGATCCCAGTTTTACAGCTGCACTGATTTATTTAGACAGCAAGACCTTGCTGTAAAATTAGCCTTTAATTTGTGTCTTAATGGGATCTTTAGCCTAGACTAATGCACGTGTAATTCTGAGTGCAGTCAAGTTTGGAGTTGCCCATTTGGGGCGATTGGTTTTTGTGTAAAATAGCAAGAGGCTGTGAACAATGTTGATATGAACTGTTAATTACCTAGTGCTCTGTCTGCTTAACGAACCATCAGGTGCCTTTTTTGTGTACAGACATATCGGATCTTTTCTATTACACTGGGGTACGTGGACAAACCGAAGATCTGCCTTTTGTATCAACATTGTAGTGTTATCCTTTAGGTAATTCTCAAACGTAGTTTACTGTGCAATTTTTTGCCATAGTTTTTATCCAAGAATAAAACCTGAAGGGCTGTTTGTACCCGTAAAAAGTCAGCAGATTCCCTGGAGTTCTTATCCCCTTTGAGCCCGTAATGGTATGTCAAAACAAGCAACGTTTTACTTCAGCTGGTAAGCCCATGGGAAATGTGGTCAAAAAAAGGCCTGTTCCGTTGTCCTTTCATGTTAATTTGGATAAAATCTGGAATCTTTCTTCCCCTCTGAAGCTTGCAGATGTTCCTATCAGTATTTTTGTGTTGTTTCCTAATGTAGCAGTCCCTTGGCTTTCTTTGTGCAGGCTTCAGGGTGGAAAAGATGCAGCCATTTCAGCGCTCTGTGTCAAGGGAAGGAGCAACTGAGGAGTTAGTTGCAGATGGGAAAACCAAACTTAAATTTGAGAACTTAAACAGGAATTAGCTTCCTTGTAACGAGTCTTATTTTGCGTCAGGACCAACTCTGTCTTTTAAATATTTATTCATTTTTAACCTTGAGGGGGGTGAAAAATGTTACGTGACTATAATATTCAGATGGGGGGGAAACTCTTAAGATTATTACATTTGAAAAGGTAAATGTTTGAAGAGAGAGTGATGCAAACAAGTTTACTCATCACACAAGGTTCGTATCTCAAAGGCAGCCCATTTGTTTGCCTGAACACTAAAACTTTTTCTCAAAGCTTTTCAGAGATTCTGGGAGCTCTTGGTTGTGATTTCCACTTCCCAGGCACTGGGAAAGGGGAGGCAGTTGTGGGCTGACCTGACTTCTTGGTTGACTTTTTATTTTCTAGTGTGCTGTGAGCTTTATTCTTTCACTACATTTTCTAGATGGGTTAATATTATGCTTGTTTTCTCAAGTGAGTTAAACATTCCCTTTCAACTGTATTTTTTCTCAAGAATTACCTCAGTAATTTTATGCCTGAATCTACTGTAGTTTTTACCTGAGAGACAAAGCATGGAATTTCCTGTTCTGTTTTTCTCTTCATGCTCATCCATGGGTTTGTATCCTTAGTCACCTTACGGATTTAAAACTCTGAACAGAGCTCATAACACGACATATATTTTAAGTAACTTAATCTGCACACGGAAAAGAATCAGCAGGAGGTATCTCATTGAGCTCTCAAGCTTGCTAGTGGTTTTTTTTTTGTATGATAGGGCAGTTTTGCACACTAAATCAGAGTTCTAGGGAACCGGTTGGATCACCTCAGGCCCATTATTGCCTTTTTTCTGTCCATAAAGTGGGCCTGAGTGTGATGCTGTAGCCTGCGGATGGAAGTCAGTGGGTTGGCTCTGTTCTGTTGAACTTCCATGGTGACGGTTCACACCAGGAACCCAAGATCAGGAAACTCTACTTGCAAAAGTCAAGCACTTCTTAAGTTTGCAAAGGATCTGGCCCACGAGGGAAAAGGACTGGTTTGTTTGTTTGTTTTTTAAAAGTGGCAGATAAACTTCTTCCTCTGCAAAATACACTCTGCTTCTTGCTACAACTGAGGTTTGGGTTTGGTTTTTTTTTTTTTTCCCAAGGTAGGTTGTAGTAAAATAAAGCCAGAAAATCACGTTATGGTAAATCAGTTAATTAGTAAAGAAGAGCTTAGGTAGCTTAGGTCGTACAAACATCTCGGGATAGGCTGGGCCGTTGCTTAGTCCTTTCACAAGAAACAAATAAAAAACTTTATTTTAAGTGACATCCTGGAGAACTTTGCAGGTAAACACAGCTGGAGAGAACATCTTTTTTTGTTAACTTTATAGGGTTATTGTTCATTTGGCTAGTCAGGAAATGGGTCACAGGCAGGATGATAATCAGATGGAGACCTTGAACAACTTTTTTTTTTTTATTTAAAGAAAAAAAGCAGCCTTTTGCTGTCCCTCCTCTGACACCCGCAGGTCAGTGACCAGAGAGGGGCTGTTGCAGATGGGATGTCTCTCACAAGGACAAAGAGAGGAAGTGCTTGCAGCATGTGCTTGCAGGAGAGACTGACGTCATCTTGCAGTTTAAGTTGAAAAACTAACTAAATGGGAGTCATTTATCAAACACTGCTTTGTGTTTGTTGTCCTCCAAAGACGCTTTAAGCTGTTAGAGTGTGTCAGTCAGTGCCTTTCCTTCTGATTGCGGTGCTGTCATTCTCCAAACACTGCTTAGGTGGCATTACGAGGTGACACAGTGAATTGGAATTAAAAAGGAAGAACAGTTTTCTGTAAGTGGCATATTTAATAGGCAGTTGTCACTTTGAAGCGATTAAATAGTTGTTAATGTTAAAAATGAATTAATATCCATTCTGGAAGGGAAATTACCGGCTGCTCAACTATACACTACAATTCAAAGATGCTTCCAGTTTGACACAAAGAATTGATCTTATTTTTTAATATGAAATAATAGATTCTTTGGCTTATTAACTTGATAATATGTTCAGTTTATTAAAATACTGCTGTGTAAAACCTAGAACTAGGCACGTTACAAGCATGAAGAAGCTCTTGAAGATGACCGTTTGTAGGCTTTCTGAGCCAGCTAAAGCCTGAACCTCGGCCAAGCAGATGGTGGAGAAACTACTGGCAAAAAACCTGTAGTGAAATGGAGCAGGAAGAGCTCCTCTGTGTGTGGCACTGCAGAGAAAAATGTAATTCCACCAGGATGGCTAAAGTAGGTTTTGGTATGAAAAGGGGTGCATTTGAGAAGTGTGTCCTATCCTGCCTGTGTGTCGTCTCCCCCATGGTATTCACCAGTCCTGGTTACTGTGATCTGCAAAGAATTGTAGCATTAGATAAATTAAAACAATAGACATGGAGCCACTGGAGAAACGTAGCAGCTTTCTTTAGTGACAGACAACTACCTTCCAGAAATTATCATTTTAGAAAACAAGCCCTTTGCTGCCTTTAGCTGTGGATAGTAACTTCATGTTTTGGAGTCTTTTCTATGTGCCTCTTTAGTTATTCTGGAAGAAAAAAAAAAGCATTCTGCTGTGTGGAATGACAGGATTTTTGGTAGAAGGCCCTTCTGATTTTCAGGCAGTGAGTTTTGACACCTGATGTAGCTTTGTGTGTGTCATCACGTTTTCAGGAGTACTTGTTGGGTTGGTAGTTGGATGCATGTCCAACTTGAGACTCAAACACAAGATGCAAGAACACCTTTGTACAACGGCAGCTTCTCCTGTAAAGCCAAACCCTCCTCTCTCACCATGAGAACAGTATTGATTCCTGTCAGTTTAGCAGCACCCTCTTTTCTGTATCCTTTTTCTAGTATGAAATCACATGGTGTAGTCAGGGGTTTTTCTTCATGTAGCACTGCCAACTCTTTACCTCAGTACACTCTTTATTAATTCTGTTACATGGGAAGTTTCAGTAGCAACCGTAACACATCTGTGCCTGCTCTTTCTGTGGGGTTTTAACAGATTTTTAGGGAGCATCCCTTGTGGGAGGGGAGGACTGGTGTGGTCTGGGCCAGGCTCGGGCTGAGTTAATACTGACTCCACGCGCTTCTAGCTGAGGGCTGTCTAACCTAGTGAGGAAGTACTTGGCAAGACAAGAAAAGACCTAGTGCTTTTTAAGATTGCCTGTTTTGTAATTAGCTGGGGTGATCTCTGCTTTGTGCTGTGAGGTGGGCACTTCTTTGTTTTAACACTAATCTTTTTTTACATAGATGGAAATGAGTAAAGCCAGGCTCTTTGGAGCTGAAGCTGCCGCTCTGCTGACCCGGCGATGCTCTCTCTTGGCGGTTGGGCAGTTCAGCTTGATCCTTAATGTTTTTATCTTTCTAATGGCATTTGGAAAGCGGTGTTGAAGTTTGTCTATGTGTCGATATGCTTGTTTTTCTTATTGGGTGGGGAGTGTGGAGGTACTAGAGTGTCAGTGCTGGTGGTTCTGTGCCTGGCTTGATGAACTGTATCACAACCTGGCTCTTGGCGTGTGCCCCAAGGCCGTATCTTCTGTCCAATGTGAAAATATTCACAGTTGGAAAGGGGAAAAAAGAGCAGCACTGACTTCCAAAGTGGGTGTTCTGGTAAAAAAAAAAAAAGCCAAAGTATGTTGGAAGGGAGCAAGAGAGGGGAGCTATTTTCTAAACTGATCCCAAAAGCTGCTGGTGCTTGAAGACTGGCTGCATTGAAGCAAAATGCCATTTGCATTGACCCCAGAAGCTTTGAGTGACTCCAGAGAGCCACTTTGGTGGCACTTTGGTTTTGGGTGACCAGCAGTGGGCTGGCCAGGCTGGCCCTGCTGCAGCTGCACACCCTCCCACTGTAAATCCCTCTTCATCTCTTCATAACCGAGGGCTAAAACTCAATTCTGACTAAAACAGGTTATGCAGATCTCTGGCCAGACAATGCATCTTACTCCTTTCTAACTCCCACATACTCTTTCTTCAAGATACCAGGGCACGAGAAGAATTTCAGGGATGAGACTATTCCCATTATTTGAATAAAAAATACAACTGATGGAGAACAAAATTTTTGGACCCAAAAAAGAGCATCTTATGTGGGAAGTAATAGATAATTTTTTTAATAGGGCTGCTTGTCTGCTAATACTTCCTGACAATCTCTCGTGCTGGGCTTGTGTGCAGGGGGTTGGGCACAAAAGCTGGGAGAAGGTGGCAGGGAGAAGGGGGATGTGGAAGAGAAATGATCCTTTTGGTAGTTCCCAAGACTTGGGAAGCGTGCTGGGGGGGCCTGGGTTTGAAAATGTGTGTCCAAACTCCCATTTGCATCAAAGCCATTAACTGTCTTTAGGATAATGAGCGGTTTTCCAGTGAACAGGGTTCGTTAGCTGGAAGGTGTGAGGAGCTTCAATTGATGATAAATGTTAAAGGGTATTTCTGGAGACTCCACTTAACGAAATGGCTAGTATTTATTGCTCTTGTGACGAGTTGTCTTGTTTATGGAATCAATATGTATGAAAGCAAACTGACAAAACACAAAGTTATCTTGTGACACAATCATGTAGCTAGGAAGCCAATTAATGTTATCTTTTATTCTGCAATTTACTTGCTCTCTGGTGCCTATGCATTGTAACACACATACTATGCAATATCAGTCTGTTTTTCTAAACCAATTCACTGCATTGGGCGAGAAAGGCCTGAGTTTAGCCTTAATTTTCTAACAATTCACAGGAAAGTACTTTAAAAACAGTGACAAACTAAAAGAAGGTGAAAAATGCATAAAGTAAAAGCACAGTTCCAGACTGCTCACATAAGTGTCTTTCTAGCACCAAAACAGCATCCACAATAGAAGCAGCTACTTGCTGTAATAGTTTCAATTTATGAAAACTGTGTACTAGATAAAATTATATTGTGATGTGTAAAAAGTGTATTTTATAGCTTTGGTGACTTAGTTTACTGTTTTGTATATATGAATTTTATAAATCTATTAAAACTTGACTTGTTATACTGTTCTTCATGAGTTTTATCTTTCAGCAAAGTCCAGAGTGACCTTTTTTTTTTTTTTTGCTTCATTCAAAGATTTCCTGCAGGAGAGATGTGTTTTGAATAAATCCCAGCATGAAGTGAGTGAAACTACAGCTGCCAGGCATAAAATCTTGTTCTGTAAATCTTCACTTATCTCCCACCTCCCCAGGTCTGGTCTGAGTCGTTCTTCCTGAGCGTGTCCAGGAATTGAAGGCTGGTGAAACATTAACCTACGTAAAACTTCCAGCTCCTGCCTCTGGAGCTGGCGTAGGCACTGGAACTGATGGGAAGTGGAAGGGGAGACACAGCTAGAGTTTGTGGTGTGTATTTTAAGCTCAGGGAGAGAGAAAATCATTAAGCCTGTCGAGTCGTTAACACCTGTTAGAGATTCCTCTTCTGCTCTGTAGGGTCTGCTAACAGCCACAGGAAGGGCAGAACCAGTGACCTTTGGAGAGCCATCCCTGTCCCTGTCTTACTGCACTGCCCTCCTGGCATCAGCTAATTCTGCCAAACCTGAGCTCCAGTTCTTAGGAATGTGGTTAACCTTTCCTCGCCCACACTTGGAAAGGTCACATCTGGCAGATTTTTGTGGCAAGTCTTAATTGTTTCTTGGGTGAACTGTTAATGTCTAATCGATGATGTTGTCAGGTACACAAGTTGAGATTTTTACTCATCATGGGAAATGTTACTTCCTCAGCCACATCACGCTGTTGGGAATGGTAAGTCATCCATTCCTCTCCCTGGAGATTCCCAGGTGTGGTCACCTACCTTCTCATCTGAGAAGCTCTCGGCACCAGCTCCGGGTGATCTCTCTGCTCAGCTCTGGGAATGTAAATTGGCCCTTTTCTGAGCCAAAATATATTCCTGTGAGTTACAGCCCTGCAGGATAGGACATAAAATGAGTTTAGTGGGTTCCTCACCAGAGCAAGATCGAGCTCTTCCTGGCAATATCAGCTGGAACACGCTGGTGTTGGGGCAGGGGCCGTGCTGGGCTGGGGAGATGTTTGACCAAGAGACAGGGAAATGGGTGGTTTGGAGTTGTCACTTTGGTCTGCTCCAAAGCTGGTTGGGGTTTAGTTGGTCTGGTTTGATGGAGTTTCTCTGTCTGAATTGGTGAATTTCCAAAGCTGTAACCAAAATAAAAGCATTGTCACTAGAGTGTGCCCACCCAGTGACCCTGCACCCGTTCCCCTGGGATTTAAACTTTTATTTGGAATGCACAGTGGGAGGCTTGGATCGGGGTATCTTAGTGACAATATTAATATCCCTGCGTTTCAATCTGTCCCACTTCATACAGCAAAGATGTCCCTGGTGTAATTCAGCTGCACAGACCTTGTCACATAGGAACGGAGGCTGAAGCATCGCTCCTGCAGGTGAGTTTGTCTGTCTGGGGCTGATAAATGCTGGGCCAAAAACTCAATATGTAAACTTTGAATTCACCTCCCCAGATCAGCAGGTCTACCTGTTACCAGGGTCTCTCTTTTGCAGTTGGAATAATCCAACACTCTAAAGATAAAAGGGAAAATGCAGTTATTTCCCCAGGGAGGAGCTTCTCTCAAATGCAAAGCAGGCAGGGCTTTATAGGTTTGGATTTTTGCTAAAGTGTACAAGGCATCAGGTTTGGGGTGGGTATAGTAATATTTCAGTATTCGTTATGGCTCTTTGAGAAGAGAAATTAAATCCCTGTGGTTTCCAGCTCCAGCCTGGGATCTCGTTATCCTCTACAGACCCGGGAGGGAGTTTATTCAGTTACTAACAAGTATTACCATATTTCTGGGTACTCTCCCCAAAACCAACCGGCATCTTGAGAAGCTGCATGGTGTTAAGGGAGGAAGAGTTATTAGGAAGAGTGTTCAGGAATTTTTACCAACAAAAAAAATAGCTTTCCTGTAAAGCCTCAATTTTGCACAGCAGAAAGAGACTTTCAAGTTCCCTTTTTAGGGGAGGGAGGTGGTCCATCCACTGTTAAATCAGAAAGTGCTGGCTGCTGCTAGTGAAATGTCTACAGAAGATGCTGGTTTCTCCTTTCCCACCTTTGCAAGCTGTTGTTGGCAATTTCACCCCGAACTAGACCCTAAAGACTATGGGGGGTAGTTGTTTTGGGGTTTTTTTATTATTTTTCTTAGACAGTTGTGTTGTACCCCCAGTCCATTCAGTTACGGCAGCTTCTTGTTTTAAGAGCAGGAGTGGAATGTTCTGCCTGTTTATTCTTGGGAGAGGATATTTGTCTTTATGAGCTCGTAAAGCTATTAAAAGACTGTGTTTTCTGTTCAGGATTATAGGCTTTCGAAGTTGCTTCAAAAGAAGTATCTCTGAGCTTGGGGCAGGAAGGGTAGGATGGGATGGACATCCCATCCCTTCTCTGCCTGTCTTCCTGCAGAAGGCTCACCAATCTGCCTCTCAAGTGCTGAATAGTGAATACCCAGGTTCTCCTGCCCACTACGTGGTGAAACTCTGTTCCTGAACCATTTGTAACCAGCTCTGATCTTGGCTGCTGAGTTGCAAGTAGCTTCTGGGTGTGCATTTTGGATACGGAGTACCCCCCTCCTTCTTGCTGATGGATGATCTGCTGCTTGACCTTCTAAAATGACTCCTAAGTATCTCCTCTGTATTTCTGGTCCACAGCTTACTCAGCAGGTTACTGGCTGCAAGTTCTGCTGCTGTTCCCACACCCTTCCAAGTGTTTTCCTGGGAACCTGCTTTGATGGTGTGACTGCTGCCTAAAATGCAGGAAATCTTATTTAGGGGCTCACCTTCCATTTGTTTTACTTCCAATTCCTGTGTCAGGTGTTTTCTGCCCCTCTACAACTCTGGTACATGCAGAGAAGAATAGGAATTACGCCTGTGTGCCTTAGTCCTGCTTAGAACTTTGATTTTCTGTGTAACTTTGGCCAGTCATTTTCTTCCTCCCTGCCCCAGGCTGCCTCCAGTCCTCTCTCAGATCGGTGTGGAGCGTGTAAAGTCAGTGCAAAGTTCCACTTCCAGGCCCTGGGAACAAAATGTTGTGCGGTGCCGTAACATCCAGCAGCAGCTCTGGAAAGCTCTGATGGGAAGAGAAGCCACCTCCACGGGAATGTCTTTGCCTGAGCAAAAACTTGCACCCTAATAGTGCGAGGACCTTCTCCCCTCCAGCCCTGTGAGGACTTCAAGGTGTGTTCAGCCACTTTCTGCCTTTCCCTGCTGAGCTGCCCACGCAGCAGGTGAAGCTCTGAGCTGCTGTGCTCATTTATTTCTCACCTGGAGCACTTCTGGACAAGCTGAGCTGGGAAACGGTGGTTCTATCAGTGACAGTGTCAAAAATAGCTATTATTGCTAAGCAGGAGCTCTTGAGCAGAAACCTGTGCTTTCACAGCAGAGCTAACCTGAGTCCGTATGCCCAGTGCCACCTAGGGCCACCCATCTGTGACTTCAAATTCTTCCTGTGCCACCCTTTCTCTCTGTTGCCTTTGGACCCCGTCACGATAAAAAGCTGCCTCTTTCCCCGAGGTGATGCTGTCATCCCGAAATTATGGCATCTTTCTGGGAAGTTTCAGCAGTTCAGCCCCATGATTGAGCAGCAACCGCGGCCGAGCAAAGAGCCATCTCCCTCGCTTAAAATAGTAAACTCCGTTAAGGCAACAACTGAGCAAGCAACAGGGGCAGAGCGTGGATTTGTAATTCGAGCAGGGTTTGTTTGGAGAATCACTGCTGCTGGGAAGGATGCGTTGGATGAGAAGCCCATGGCCTTTGTGGTTGCCAGGAGAGGGCGGCAGCAGCGGCTCCATCGCGCCTGCGCCGGGTCCAGGCACCCAGCCTGGAAAAAATGTTTCCAGGAATTGCCGTCATCGGTCCCCAAAGCCAGAACTGCCTCTCTCTGCCGGCATGAATCACGCGGATGTGAAGTCGCTCATGTTTCCGGAATCCAGTTGCATTTATTATGAGATCATCTTTTTCTGCTCACCTGCAGGAGTGAACCTCCAGCTTTTTCTGAACGTCTTCCACCGATCCTCTTCCCTTCCCGCTCCAAAAAAAAATGCACTGGGGGGGTTTGAGACCCTCGAAGGGCATGGGGCGAATGAGCAGGAAAATCAAAGCTATTTGCTCCTCTGAGGGAAGCATCCTCTCTCCTCCCATTTCAGCTGGACCCAGTCCTACCTGCTGATGGTTTTGGGTGGGAGAAGTCTGCAGCGTGGCCAGGCTGCCCTGAGCTGCAGAGTTGTTGGTGCTGAGGGAGCTGGGGATGGAGAGAGGGTCAGCCTTCCCCCAGCGTGCTGCTCTGACGGAGCTCAGAAACCCCTCATCCTCTGCAGCTCCATCTATAAATAGCTGGAGGAGAACAGCACACCCCAGTGCTGGGAAGGCAGCTCCTGGGGCCAGCACAGCACCCACTCCCTGGGTGACTTACGGAGCGGGGAAGAGGGAAAGGGCCAGGGCATTAACCTCTCCAGGCAGAGAGAGAGGAATGCGTGGGTAGTTCCCGCTTTTAAGTTAATAATCAATGAGTGAGTGAATATTTTGAAAGGGTTTCTCTCCTGTGCCAGTCTCTGGAGGATGTGAGCAGTTGCGGCTCGAGCCTGGCTTGCTTTGAACTGAGGCAGCTCTGGAGATCCCCTTGAGTGTCTGCCAAAAGCTGGTCGTCACACTAAGGCTGTTCTTCGTGGCAGACGAGCTGCCAGGGATCTTTCTGCTTCACTCCCTGACTCTGCCCGTCCCCCTCTATCTCTTCCCCCCCTGCAGGAGTCCATCAGCCTCTCGTGGGCTCCTGCTCTCGGCTGATGGGCCAGTGACCAGGGCAGAGGGACATTTGGTAGCTGTGGGGGGAAGGAAAGGGAGAAATATAATCTGTGCTTCTGACTGCAGTGTGATGCAGAGGAGAGCTCTGTGTAGGGGAGAGCTGCCCTGGTTTCACTCACATCTGTTTGTTCAGATGGCCCAAGCTTCTGTGTGAACACACTTCGTGTTTAGCATGGACCTCTTCCTGCCTGCCTTCAGACCAAAGGAATTATGG